AAATAGAAAAATAATCAACGTAACTGAATCAAAAGTAAAACACATGAAACATGGAAAAATGTAATAAAGTACAAGTGGACAGACAAGAAAAAGGTTGTACCTATTAGTAGTCGTGCAACGTTTAGAAAAATTAGCTTGTATGGAAAAGTAAAACATAAAGGATAAAAGCGCTTGAGCATGCTCTGCAAAGATGGGGAAAATAACAAAACGAATATTATTTACCTGTTATTTGTCCTGTAGAAACCAGCAAACCCAGCGTAAAGCACAAAACAAATATTATGGTTAAGAATTATTAAACAAATGTTACATGTACAAAATGCTTCAACTTTTGGCCAAAACGAGAAATTGAGGAGATTTCCACTGCTGCTTGCCGGATAAGCATTTGACTAAACCCGAGCTAGTTTTTGGCCAAATTCATGAAGAGTTTAGTAGTTGCAAACAGTATCCTAATACTACTTAACTCAGACTGCACATACATTGCATTAAATGCACATTTAATATCAGTAACTCAAATACATGTTTTTAGGTCGAAAATTGAATCATTCAACGAAAACAAATTACTTTGGCTTATTAGACAAACGATTTTAACAGTTAAATACTATCACCTACCAATCTTAAAATCTGTTAAGTCCAAAACAGTCAAATAATTGAATAAATTTCACTTACTTGAATTCTTCGGTGTCGGTACTAAGTTCCTGTTCGATCTGTAGGAATACTTGTAGCATTTCACTGATTATGATTGGCCAAAGACTGGTCACTTGCATGGGGCTCATTCGAATCAGGATAACTCGGAAACACATAAAAACCTGGGCTTGGATTCCAGGAACGTTCAGTCTCAAGCTTGAAGTTAATTGTTCTAGAAAATAGTTCACACAATTAGCATTTCCAATTATTGTAATTATAGTATTGGCAAAACTACCTTGAATTTCAGGCATATACTTGGCATATTGGTCAATTTCACTACAGAATATTACGTAGGCCAGTCTTTTCAAAAGTTGTGCCTTCTGCTCATACTCTTGTTCCCTTGAAGAGAATATTCCCAAAGTTCCACTTTGGGTCATTGATACTCGATCTAAGAGATAGTTGCATTTAAGTAAAAAAAAAACTACCTGGAAATCACTTCTTACTCATCAAATCCCTGAATGTCGTATTGTCATGAGTCATCAAATTATCTACAATTATCCTCCAGTACTTCAAGCAGGCATAATCCATCTGAAAGAGACTATTGTCCAGGAGCAAGTCAAATACGTCCTTTTTCCAAGCTTTGCGAGTATATTGGTAGCTGCTTAGACTGGATAAAAGTTTCGAACAGGCGTTAAAACTGTGCATATTCTTGACTGTGTGTGTCTTAAGATAGGGCACGATGTTGCACATTAAAGAGGCCAGAATATTGTTCACTTTGTCCTTTTCGGATGATCCAAAACAAATGTCCAGGATTGGGGCCAAGATTTCTGACAATGTCTACAAACAACATTAAATAAATTTCAACCAGGAAATTGCCAGCTTTCTTACTAATTGTGCTTGCACGCTATGACTGGAGTTGTAAATTAAATCACTCGAAGGAGCTCCGTTTGTTATGCTATTTTCAGGGGTGGAATCTTCATCCTGTTCGCGAACAGCAAAATTGCGTCGCAGCCAAGTGGTCTGCTCGAGGCAGGAACCGCAAACTTGGGACACACAGTCGATAAGCTAAAATTAGCCAAAAAATAATTTTCCAATTATTTATCATGAAACTTTAAAACAAACCTTAGTTGTTACATCTTGAAGATCCTTCTGGTCTTTCTTCTCCTCTAATGGGCAGCACTTAATCATCATTTCGTGCAGGATGGCTGCTAATAAGAACTGCGCAGATGGACTCAGAACGTTCACTTCTCTGATGAGTGCCAACAAGGAGCTCCAAGCTTCTGAGAGTTGGGTAGCGGATGCATTACGCATGTAACTGCAAAATAAAACCAAATCAATGACTTTCAATGCGAACATTTCAGCGATTCTTACCAATAAAATAACTCTAAAATTGATACGTCTAGGCAAATATCGGAACTAAGACCTTCACAAGGAGGAGGGTGTTTTATCACAGCAGTCACAGTTTGTACTAAATTATCTAAGGGAATTACTCTAATGGCGGATATTAGGTATACTAGGTTGTTTTGGCCGGCGTTAGGTTCTGGTAACACCTGAAACGAAGTTCATTGCCCATAAACTATAAATCTATACAAAAAAAAGAAACTTACAGCTTTAACACTAGTAAATGGGTTTCTTCGCTCATACCAAGCGACCGCTACTGCGGACAGAAAACTGGCCCCATGATGCACAGCTATTGGACTCAAAAATTCCAAAAGTTGCTGTTTTACCACCTTTGAGTTGCCATAAACACTATTAAACTCAATCTCCATTGCTGAAAAAAATTCACAATTTTCCTCAGTAAGGATATTTACGTATTTGGATTGCTTACATACCAACAACAGTTTGCCATAACTTTGCCACACTGGATATAATCCTTGGCATGTGACTCAGTATGGTTTTGCGGGCGTTCTGATAATGATCCGAGTTTTGTTTAGCGGAAAAATTTATATCGGAACTCAACGGCGAGAAAAACACATTTACTAAATTATTTAGAATTTCCCCCGGGTTTGAGACAGCGGAAGTCGATGTGGAAGCAGGAACGTTTTGGTTAACTGTTTGCGAAGCATCCAAAAGACAGTAATGGCACAAAATCGTTAGAGATTCTAGTTGGGTCACTGTGTAGTCGGCGCTTAATTCAAAGTCATCTAAATCGGTTTTTTTGTAGTTTGTGGCGATTTCTTCGATATTGTTGCAAATCTACAAACATTTTATTATTATTATTTGTCTTATTAAATTTGATTTATTGCTGTTCAATCTTTGATTCCCAAGACCCCTACAAATACAGAATGGATCAAGACTGGTTTTTTGCATCAATAAATAACATTCAATACTTTTTTTTGCAGGCTTGGAGCCTTTTTAAGTAAATCTAGGCCAGGAGGGTTACAGATTAGATCACTTAGATCACTTTTGCAAGCGCTCGGGAATAGTACCTATACGTATTCAAAATATCGAGGCATTCAACAACGAAAAATAGAAAAAAAATTGGGCAAATCGCGCTTTTTTCGGAAACAATCACATATAACTCGGGAAGTATGCATTTTGGAGAAAAATGTATATGTACTTATAAGTTTGTTCGTTATGATGAAATTCTCTATAAGATAGAGTTAAACGCAGCACCCAGTCGCAATCTCCAATCGCACCACCGAAACCGTACCTTAAATATTGCCAGAAATCGTAATCTTCAGAAAATTGATTGAACATTTTATCCTATTTTAAATCAGTCAACAGTAGAATATCCTGTAATGTATGAAATGCGAAATTTGAAAGTGCTGTTTTGATCTTAGCTTCTGAGAAAAAGGTCCGGGACGAACAGCATTTTTTCTAACCAGCAAAATAGCTTTGACACAAAACTATTCTTATGCAGAAGTTGAATATCTTTAATCGCAACTTTGAATAACATTACCTGATGAATCACACTAATGGAAATTTGCTTCAAATTATCTCCGAAATATGGCAGACAACAAGTAACCATATTCAGCCACTTCTCATGCATGCTTCGCATATTTTCGTTCCTCAGCGCGCTTAAAATAGCTGATAGAAAAATGGCTTGCTTGGGTATCAAAACAGTGGGCGTATAATTAAGGTGTTCTCCATTAATGGACCCTCCACTAGGTTCGGGCGTTGCCTGTTCTGTCGGTTTTGTTGAAGGGAACACCGAGTGTTCCAGTATTATCAAAGAATGAATTAACCTGCAGATGAAAAAATAACTTAATATCAATCGAGAAGCGACATACCCAAAAACTTGCCTTAAGAGTTGGATTTGGAACGCCTCCACATGTTCTCCCATTCTGTTTTCCGAGTTGCATAGTTGAAAGTTATTAAACAGTAAAATATCCTCAGCAAAAGTCATATCTTCGTCGAAATTTCTTACAGAAGTCAGCAAGCAGTGCAGTAAAGTCTTCTGTATTTTACACTTGACCAACAGATCAGCAATATAACTAGAAAATCCTTTATTGCAGTTTTCCTCGATCATCGTGATCAGATTTTTTACTATCGTGTTCAAAATGTCTAAGGCCTCTAATTGGATTTTAATGTTGGTTTCCATTTCGTCTGGCATTGGACTTGAGTCGTCCAAAAATGGAAAAAACGTTCGAGCATAGTTCAGACACACCGATAAAATGACATCCAAGAACATGTAGCCTCTGTAAAAGTTGATATGTTCGGTGGTCAATTCGCCATTAAACCCTTGTCCTAAAAGACTTTTCCTGTGCCTGGCTAACAGGTAGAGAATGTCATTATTTTTCATGTTCTTAATCCCGCTGGTGGCTGAGCATTTAATGAAAAGCTGCGGGTTACACAGGATGCAATGTTTCAGAGTATGTAAAGCATACATCACTTGATTCGAATCAAAGAGCTCATAGTATAAACATATGTGCGAATGTATCGGGTATAAAACAAAGTTTTTTGAATTGGACGTGTTGATTTTATTTCTCAAGTCCAGGTCGCTTGGTCTGCTTGAAAAATGTGGAATATCAGGATCCAAACTATCGCCATCTACTTTCTGGCATACATCATCCAGAATTTTATTAAGAATTCCCGTCACTATTGCATATTCCTTATCTTTGCCTCTAAAGAACTCTTCTGCGCTCTTGCTCAGCTCGAGTTCTCCATGTAAATTAGCTGAATCCGAGATGCAATACGACCAACTTTGAACCAGAGAATTTTCGTCTGGCTTGATGTTGCTTTTTTCGTCAAAACTTCGGGATTTTGGCAGTTTCACTGTTTTTATTCCATTCGATATCGGCTCCATGCTCTCTAGAAGGGCCTTTTTGCCATTGTCCACTAAAGCGCTGAGGATTTCCGACTGTTTTCTTTGCTGGTTCAAGGAATCGTAGCCACTATCACGATCACCTGCAAATATCCAATTTTTACTATTTTAATGAGAAGTTTAAGGGCCGATAATTCACTTTCTGATAACGAAATCTGGCGGATAACAAGCGGAGCAAAAAGACAAGCAAATGTTCACGCTATGACGAATACAAATCGGCTGATACCTTGCGTATTTGGCAGATAAATTATTCTGCTACTACATTGGAGTTTACTGACGTTTTCGGGGAAATTTTTCTAGCAAAAGCAGTTAACAAATTTGAAAATCTAATGAGTCGAAAACCATATAATACAAGAGTGCAATAAAAGACATGTGGACCATTTTAGCACTTTGGACGATGCAGAATTTAAGAGATGGTTTCGCCTAAGAAGGGTGTTAACTAAATTTTCACTCCTTCATACTTCAAAACTTTTTTGTTGGGTATTTTGCCTCAAAATGTTTTCTTTCAAAAAGACAGAATTTCCTCACGTCTTCTGATATAGAGTAATAAAACTGTTCTGGTTTCACAATAGAGACAAATTCTATTCTTGATAGAAAGAGCTATTACCTAGAGCGGGTCGGCAATCTGCAGCTCTTTGGATGTGAAGCTGTGACTCTTTAGTGCCATACGCAAATATTACTTCTTTTATCAAAAAAAAAAATATTCTGAATCGATTAACGAAGTTAACTGGACGCAGTCTACAAGTGTAAGAGAAACTTAGTAATAGAAAACGTGACGAAAAAATTCGTGTTTTTAAAGGAAAATGATTTTGAGGCAAAATGGGCAACAAAAAGGTTTTGAAAACATGAATCCGCGTCTGCCATATGGAACGTATTTTCATTTTTCAATTCTTCTGCTTCCAATGTGGACTAAATCCAGCATTTAATTTTAGACATTAACTTTTCCAGGCTTCCTTTCGCTGGAAAAACGTCACCAATGCAGTGTGTTTGTTATCTCACACATAAGTTGGGATGAAACAAGACATTTTTATCTGGTACCTGATCAAGTAATTGTCTTGGCAGTTATCAGTGTTTAAACCTGGCCTAAGCGTTTAAAATTACATACCCGGCAATGATTCTGATTTCCCGTATATTTTCCTGTCGATTGAATCATCATTACTGATAGTATTGTCGTTGCTCGACAAACTTTCTAAAGAGCTGTGCGAAGTCTTCCGAGCATATGAACCTTCCAACCCTATCGGGTAGATTTCCTTGACGCTTAGAGGGTTGATGATTAACTTAACATTTCCTTTCGCCTGTGGGTCTAAAACGGGCAATACAGTGTATTCTTTGAAGTTCTTGTTTTTCTTGGTCACGATGCTGTTGGTGTCTTCCATCAGGATGGTTGCCATATTGATAGCCGATGCATATTTTTTTCCGGTTTTCGAGAAAGTAAACCACTTCTTTTTGGGCGATTTCGGTCTGGGACTGTCGGTCACATGGTACATCACGTTGCCTATAAAAAGTGATTTTTGTAAGGATTTCAATTTAAAAAGCTGTCTTACCATTAACGTTGCTGACCGCGTAAATTTTTTTTGTTTGAGATTCTTCCAATTTCTGATTGTCTTGGTCAGTCTGTTCGTTTTGGACGTCTCCATCCTGGATGTTCACGTGTCTAATTGAAACCCTTGCTGTGTTAGTAGCGAGCAGTTTTAATAAAATGGGATTCAGTATTCGTGGAATGTCGCTCTGCAACAGACTGTGAGTTAGAAAGGAGTTAGCGAGCAACTGAATAGCGGGTTTTTCTTTAGATTGCAACATATCCAGGAGCTTTAACAAGGACCTGCAATAAAATATTTTTTTAAATAAGTCTATTGCTAATCCTCCCAATTTTCTTAGTCACCTGTCGAAACTTCTGGTGCAGCTCTTAGTTGGCGGCAGCTTGATAGTAAGATCTCGACCCAAATGCCACAGCATACAAAACTGTTTTATGTAGGACGCAGTCACATGTTCATCAGACAGACATTGACCAATCACATTCTCAACGAAAAGCTTGTTATCGAACGTATTATGGATTTGGTATAGGAGGGTCACACAAACCATTAGCTGCTTCTGGTTTTTAACTGTCCCCAGAAGGGTCCACAATATTCTGGACATTTCCTGGAAAGTTTCATGTTACGAGTTATTAGCTCAGTACTAAACTCTTAAATATTTTAAGGCCAAGTTTGATTAATCGCTAAATATTCTGTAGCTTGGAAGTTTGAAGGTGTTTTATAGAAACTAAATAGGTAAGCGCGAATAAAACGAAACTACACTCTGAAAGCTTTAGTACTCTATCAATGTATAACTTGAGAAATTAAAAAAAAAAACGGATGTATGCAGTTGTAATCATTGGGAAATTCCTCCTACTTCCAGAAATATTCGAAAAAACCGAAATTTGGTGAAATTAATTTGTATTTTTCTTTCTCTCTACAAAATTATATAATCAGATTTAGATTTTAATACTTCGTTTGGGGGTCACCATCATCAACTAATTTTTTCAAATACAGGCCTCTATGCTTGACACCGGTTTTTGGAATTCTACGGACGCCAGTAATAAAATTGTACTTTTTCTTCAAATATTACCCGATGCTTTGCAATATCATATTTATCTTTTATTGTTAAAAACTGTCTGTAACAACGGATTTAAAAGTATTTAGATTTAAGATAAGTTTGAGAGTAGGTACGACCTAATAAGACACACGTAATTAATAGCATAACAATAAGCAAATGCTCAAACTGTTTTGAGTAACAAGGCAAACGAAATATTCACAAATTATATGTTTTCCTTTTTTACTCTGTGGGGATGCACTAAGAACGGAAATATTTTTGAATATTTAGATCGCTGAAAATGTCCAACAAAATTTAATGTTTTTGTTATTATTTTAGGTTTTCTACTTACATATACAGAGTGGTCCACAACTAATGTGACAAAATTCACTGACAGAGTTTAGACAAAAATGTTGCGTTTTATGCAAATTTGTCTTATCTGAAAGTTACTAATTTCCGAGATACGCAAAATTTTCCTTTATTTTTCATACTCTTAACTAGTTTTGCCAGGACCATGAAAATCAGTTTTCGGGAGTTTTTTAGAACGACAAATTCAAATTTCCTAGTATTTAGGAAATATCTAAAATGTGTACTTGTTTCAAGTTGATATATCTGACCCTTTTCGAAATATTTCACATTGAAACATCTAGTGATGTTGATGTGTGAACTCAAATTGGATTGGAATGGACCAAAAAACACAGGTGAATTAGTACTTCTAGTCCATGCGAGAGATTATTTTCCAACGGTACTGTCATAAACGAGCGAAGAACTACCTTAGAAAAAGCATACGCCAAAAAATTATTTAATATGAATTTATTTTTAAATGAAAATTAGCTTTTTAAACATATTCGCATGCAAAGCGTATATTTTATTTACACCATTCTATTTTATTATCAGTCTTTTACTTTAACTAAATCATTATTAATCATCACTGTTTGTACCATTATCATTGCAAATTTTTAATAAAAAATTGAAAATAACATGTTACATAAAAACATGTTTATATAAAAAAGTAACATGTTACTTTAGAACCGCATTTTGAAACCTAATACAAGTGGAACCGCAACGGTGGAACCTTGCACACCTCTAGTCAGTTAAATGCTAGAAAATATATTTTACCTTCTACTTTTACTTTGAATTTGTTGATAATGCCCTGACATTTATTTTCAAATGGAGAAATGCGCGATATGGTTTTTGATTATTCGCAAGATAATTTTAAATGCTAGATGATTTCCCAAACAACATTTTTTTTATCAATACAGCAAGCATTTAAGATTAATAAATTAATCGAAGAGTAATTTAGGTTCAACAGTTTTTATGAAATACTAATTTTCCAAACCTTTGCTGATTTTAAAAAGTAGTTTAAAATAGTTCTGAAGGTGCCTAAATAAATACTGTTTAATGTTTGTTAAGTTTTGCTTTATTGAAAATTTGTTTAGAATATTTCTTTTATTTAGAGATCCAATTTGAATTACTTCGTTCAAAAATCAGTATAGGTTTCAATCTGAAATATCTCGAAAAAGGTGAGAGAAGGTGATGGTGTGGTGAAGTCCACATTTTTTGTTTAGAAAGTATCGCAGAACGAAACATGGCAAAAAAGCGATCTTTTAAAACTCAAATTCTGATGTTTAATGATGATGCCATAATGCCTGATGGAGCCATAATAGTCTGATGGCTCCAGACTATTATAGCTAGCGCTCTCTAGGATCTACAAGCTACGTAATACAAAATTTGGATTTGTCGATCTAAAAAACTCCCAAACACAATTTTTATGGTCATAGTAAAACTGGCTTAGAATCTATTAAAAATAAAGGAAAATATTAGTTACACTGTGACACCCTGTATCTCGAAAACTATTAACTTTCCGACAAGGCAAATTTGTCTAAAATGCAATACTTTTGTCGCATTAATTGAGGACCACCCTGTATAAATTGATACACAGTTAATGGTTATTGATTATTTTTTAGTTTATTTCCAATAAAACTTCGGGGATTTTGATTTAATTCGGGAATACTGATCTCTAAATCTTGTCCGTGGTATTACAATTAATTTTAAATAAGGGCTGTACTAACAGTCTTTGATAATAGAACGTTAAGTATGATATTCTGCAGAAAAGTCCAATATTTAAATATCTGAAAACCTTTAAATCATAATTTTGTTAAGTTTCAAAATGCACAACTTTGCTCTATTTAACCGACTTCATATCTCTTATACTTTACTAGATTCCAATGCTTTTCAATTTTGTAACACCCTGTACGTGAGTGTAAATCGTCTTATTTTAGACACTATTCGCTACTTCAACTAGCGATGGTGGCGCTGCGAAACGTCAAATTACTCGTTGTCTGAATGACAGTTGAGACTTGTCAGACTTGTTTATTTATTGAGTTGATGACATTTATAACATAAAAAAAAAACATACACACTTTTCGATCTGTTTCTATTTCTTTAAAAGCATGCAAAAGTTGATTAGAACAAAACAAATCACAATCAGATGTAATCACCAATGTCAACAAAACAAGTGTCAAATTACTACTTAGCTTGTAGTGTAATTTTAGCCACCAGGGGCGTCTGGACGTTTGACCTCGCAAACCTTGTTTTGTTGACATTGGTGTTTACATCTGATTCTGATTTGTTTTGTTCTAATCAACTTTTGCAAGCTTTTAAAGCAATAGAAGCAGATCGAAAAGTATGTAAGTATTGTTTTATGTTATAAATGTCATCAACTTCAATAAATAAGTCTGACAAGTCACAGCTATCACTCGACAACGAGTAATTTGACGTTTTGCAGCGCCACCAACGGTAGTTGAACTCGCCAATTTTGTGTTTGTCCACGAATAAATAAATGGGACCAGGCAGATACCCGAATGTATGTGTTTGAATAAGAAAAACCACACTAGCTTCAGCCCTTTTGCTTATATACGAGGTGTTTCTTCTCTTTCTAATACAGGCCTTTGTGATTTCGCCTTGTTCATTTCACACATGTTCAGTTATTTTACCATTATCACTACGAGTGCTTACCTCAATGCTCAACGTATTCTCCTCGACATAATAGACATGCCCATACTCCAAAATCCCAGTTATAATAATTTTTTTCTCACTTTCGTACAGTTTCAAATAATTTTGATTCTTCGATAGACTGCATATTTCTAAGAGTGTATTCATGGCAGTGAGCTGAATTTCCCGGGAAGCTTCCTTGCAACAGGCCACCACAATCAGAGCTTCAAGCCAACTGTGAATTTTCTTCTCGTTCGAATCGGTCAGGAGATTGGGAAAGGTGCAAAACTCCAAAAGAATATTAGCCGCTATGCTCATAGAAGGTTCATAATTCGAATTTTCGTCCGAACTGATGTTGGGAACTTTTAAATCGCTTTGAATTTTCATCGAGTAGTCCACTGGTGTAAATTGGTGCTTTTCGTTGGAAAGCCGCTGATCTAGTAATAATTGCAAGTCTTTGCTCCTTTGTTGCTTGTCGTAAACGAGGGATGCGAAAAAATCTGTAATTACTGTAGCAGGCAAGATCTTGCACTTGATAAAGGAGACAAAGAACTTCTTGTACTGCTCTAAACAGTTTAAAAAGTGCTTGTTCTCGTATTTTGTTGTCACTGATAGGGCAGGAGGCGTATTTTCTTTGGACGACGTTTCGGGCATTTCAACTTCAGAGGTCGAGCTTATTGACTGGTCATTGTCGTCGTTCTTAAGCTCGTATAATTTAGAGCTGGATTTGGATTTTTTATTTTTTGACTTTTTTTCTATCTTGGGACTGGATTTGTCTTTTTTCTTTGAAAATTGGTTGCTGTAAGACCTAAAATTGCATCAATGGAAATTAGATTATACTGTAGATTGAGGAGTTTTATTGCATTACCTTTCTCTAGCCAAGTCATCCACAGTCAGCTCGTGCTTATCAGCGAATCCGTTTAGGTTTTCGCTAATCTTTGAGTCCGATTTGCTCTTCTCAATTGTTCTCGGTTCCCCATCTTCACATTTGCCTTGATTTAAGGCAGATTTTTCTAATAATTCAGCTGCAATTCGTTCTTCCTCTATTTGCTTTTGAATTTGGGTCATCGTAGTCGGTTGAATTTTCGCGAGAATTTTCGTGCACAATTCCAAGCTTTTGAAGATTTCATGGTGATTCAATTCCCCCACATGTGCATTGAGTGATTTGATAATTTTATTGAACAGATTTGGGAGAATGCTTGAAGTGCTGTCCGCATACGACTCTATCGGGATTATGTCCAAGAGAAAATCGGTGAGAATGCACAATTCCAGAATATAAGGTGTTCCACTTCCTATATCATTCACTTGGCAACGGTCTCTGTATTTGTAGCGCTTTATATTCGCGACTGCTTCTTCATAGAGCTTCTCGATGTAGGACCATAAGTAGTAGCTTTGCAGGGTGTTGAACAGTAAATTGGCATTTTTCACCAACTCCTGGCAGTTCTTGCTGACAAATTGCTTATTCAAGTCAATATCATACGCTTTGAGACTTTTCAAATCCCCATTAAACGATACACACCGTCCCGTTTGATTCCGATGCTTCTGCATGTTCAAACAAGACAAATACAAAGTGCGAAACACATCGTACAGGATGCCATCAAGAATAACTGGCCCAATTTGCGGTTTTTCGAACAACGACGTCAATAGACGATAAGATTTTACTTCAATTGGTACTTTGGTGCTGGTCTTTTTCAGGATATCTTTAATTGCGTCATTGAGTAAGTCGTAAGCGATGGGATGCGTTTGGGCTGTAGGAATATCATCTGCTTGTTCACCATCGATTTGGAGTAGAGGAATGTTTTGTGATTCGATTTGGAGAAGCCACGAATACAGGCGTCTGAAAATAATAAACAATGTCCTTAGCAAGCAAATGATACAGTAGGATGTTTTGTTGTTTATGTTTCTATAATCACAACTTTTCGGTTGGTGGCATCATTAACCGTGTACAAGTGAATACACTGATACGGATCCGAAAGCAGCTTTATTAACAATGGGAAATGAGAAACATGGACTTAACCGAAAGTTGATAGTTTCAAAAACTCAGTGCGTTGCAACCTTTTCAGTCCAAGCTGAAACGATCTCTTTATGCGCATATCTGTGTCAACAGATTGTGTTAGCCCGCTCAATTCTACATCATTGGACAGAAAATTACCAACTCACCAAGCGAAACATCACTTCGGAAATTTTCGATGTTTTAACCCAAACAGCAAATTTTTTGTTTTTTAGTTTTACGCGACAAATTGGCCATCGGCTCTAACATGATGCCGCCTTTTGGTTCATATCTCAGGAAACATTAGAGCTACACCGCTCGTTCTTATTTTCCTAGGTAGAAAAGTAAAAACCCGATGAAATTTATCTCTCAAAATAGAACTTTAGTGTGAAAATAGTGGCTGTTTTTACACAAAAGGGAAAACTTGGGTATTAGACAAAAACGTACAAGATAAGATCATAATTTCAAACCCGACACATTTTGCTCATATCTCAGAAATACATTGAGCTAGGCCTGGGTAACTCAATTAATTTTTAGGTGTTGGTGATGCGCAAATGTCTTGGTGCTTCAACCTTCAACCCAAGGCATCGGCGCAGTAACTCGCTCCTTTGCTGGGAAAATGTTAATAACCTTTTCTTTTAGATTTATTTTAACGGCCATTTATTAATAATATTTTTAGTTTTTTTCAGAATTTTCCACCTTTAGTAAAGTTACTCTTTCGTCTCAACGCTCAATTGTCTACAATTTTCTGACAATCTTAAGATATTTGCTGCGAAAAATTATAAAATTAATTTTATTATAACGCTCGCCTCCTTCGTCGTTTTGTAAAAAGTTGTGTAATTCGTCTCCAGCTTCAAATTTGGGACAAAAATCAGACAACTTTTTATCAAAAAACAAACAGAATAAGCGAGTTAGTTACTCTCTAAAGACTGTAGAGTTTGTAAAAAAAGGTGGTTTTTTCGTTTTGACTTAATTTTTTTCTTGCTTTACTCTACTCAAAAACGATCTATTTTATAGTTTCACTTAAAAATATTGACAATCTGGAAGTCTCTTACGCGCAAAATTACAAGATA